AGTATACACACAATGACAAAATTAAACATTGCATTGGCTGAGATCATCAGTCTTGATATAACCATATATAAGGAGAGGGAGTTTTGGCACAGCGACGCATGGAGACCAGCTTGTTGTGTGATATAAATAAATCTTACCTTAGGGAGGATGACTCCTACACAGGTAGATAAACATTATATATTCCAAACACTGTAGTGTTCCTTTAAATGCAAGCATGTTTTCATTGGGTTATATCTACCAAAAAGGGATTTTTTTTACATTTTTAATTTGGGAAATGGAGTAACATGCAAAAGATCACATGTGTGATTGTAACCTGGTAATTTAAATAATTGTCATACTGGAATATAGCAATGCAGAGTTGGATATTAAATATTAAATTCCAAATTCAGGGACTAACCCTGTATTACCGGCAGTAAAACCTTTCAACCAACACACTGAATGCCAGTCTGCTGCTGCGAAGGCCAATAATTGTGTGTAATGTATAAAGAGACTATTGATACACATAGTGAAAATAAAATCGAACATTTCTAAATGTTAAAACCTCCACCTTGAATATACATCGTTGTTATGGGCACCAGGTATTAAGAAGGACATCATGCAGAAACTTTTCACCTACGGTTTGCTGTCGATAAACAACGGGGTGATAGTTGTCTGGAAACTCTTTAAATGAGTTTGATATTAGCTTCGCGAATGTCAGGGTACATGTGGTTACTGCCCTGGCAGGAATCCAGCCTGTGAGTCTTCTCCCACATTCCCTCCGTTCAGACGCAGACCGCGGTAGCTCCGCCCCATTTTTTAACATGGCGCATGCGCACTGACGTCATGACGTTGATGACTTCACGGCCCGCCAAAACTTTCGAATTAGGACGTTTTGGGGGCGTGGCCATCACTTAAAGAGCCAAACTATAAAAAGGACTAATTTTCAATGAATCATTGCCCTGTCGTGGTTCTAGCTTAATTGTTCCTATAGAACTTACTCTGGTTTGGTTTACTGGTATTTGACTTGGTCTGATTTCGACTATTCTGTGTTCTCCTTCCCTATTACTCGGCTTGTTTTCTGGCTCCCTCGACCTCGGCTTGTCCCTGACTATTCTCTGTCCTTTCCTGCGTTAGTCCGGCCATTCTAAGGCCTGGTATACGTTCTTCTATTTTTGCATTCTGCGTATTGGATCCCTGTGTCGTTTCTGACAGCGGACTCCACTGGTGAATTTTGCGTTGAATTTGTAGCTTACAAGGAATTTGAGTTGTTTTTTGCAGCCAGGGCCGGTGCAAGGATTTTTGGGTACATAGGCGAAGAAGCATTTTTCCGCCCCCCCTCCTCCAAAAAAAACATCTTCACCTATGTGCCTCTATGTGCCTATGTGCCTCATAACCAGACCCTCTCCCCTCCCCGTCCATTAGTGGTCCCCTCCCTTCCCTGTCCCTTAGTGTTTTTCTCCCATTCCCTCCCTGTCCCTTGGTGCACCCCTCACCCCTTTAGTGGCCCCTTACTGGTGTGCCTCCTACCTCTCTTGTAGCATTGCCGAGCAGAGCAGATCCCCTACAGGAGCTTCAGTTTTCTGTACCCGGCCAGACTGACAGGGAGTGCTCTCTCCGTGAGCACCTCCTGTCAGTCTGGCCGGGTACAGGAAACAAAAGCTCCTGTAACATGCTCCACTCCAACAAACTACACTCAGTGGTGTATACACACTGACAGTCACACACTTAATGACAAACACACAGACGTCACTGACAGACACAGACTCATTGATCTGACACACACTCATTCATTGACACACACACACTGACTGACACTCATTGACAGACACACTGATAGTCACACATAGACTCAATGACAAACATACTCTCACTGATACTCACAAACACATACTGACAAACACACTCATCATACACTTACAGACACACTCATCATACACTGACAGACACACTCTTACACTCACATGCACACTCATATAGTCACACAATCACTCACAGATACACACACACTCAGTCACAGTCACACACACTCACTCACAGACACAAACACTCACTCACACACACTCACAGACACAAACACTCACTCACACACACTCACAGACACACACACTGTCACTCACAGACACACACACTCTGTCATTCACAGACACACACTCAGTCACTCACAGACACACACACTCAGTCACTCACAGACACACACACACTCTGTCACTCACAGACACACACACTCTGTCACTCACAGATACACATCACATATATTCACTCATTATTATTTTATAAATAAGCATTTTCCACCCAGCCTTCCTACCTGGAGAGTTGGTGTGGATCATGGATCTGTCCCTGGGGCTGCTGGGCGGCATGCAGCAGTGGTAAGATCAGAGGTCCCCACTCTGCTCCCTCGCAGGCTGTCTACTGTTGCTGGGAGCCGGAATATGATGTCACGTCAGCAAACGGCACGTGAGGGAGCAGAACGGGGAGATTAGAGCTCCCTCGCCGCCACTGATCTTACCACTGCCGCACACTTTGCCGGGGGTCCAGAAGGTGGCCTGGAAGGAGGGAGAGCTTCCCTCCTGCCGGTCACTGAAATCCTGCGCCCCCAGAGCCCGTGCGCCCTAAGGTGGCTGCCTGTGCCGCCTTATGGACGTGCCGGCCCTGGTTGCAGCTGAATGGATTTGTGTATTAGTGTCCTAAATACAGGTCTTAATGTCAAAGCAGTTTTTACAAAAACTTGGAGCTTAATCGTATCCTTCAGTGCGTTAATTAAGGGGAAAAAATATATTAAAAAATTAAAAATTACATGTCCTACAAAACAGGATTTACTTGTTATATTTTTTTGGCTCTGTATAAACTTGTTTAAGTAACATATATAGAAAATATACAAATTAAATACACGTTAGCAGGAGTTATATGATAAATATATATAACATCTTAAAAACATAAAGGTTTATTTACATACAGCGAATTTTAGGGAATTGAAAACTAAATTAAAAAGTTTATGCCTAGTTACAAGTATGAACCAATTTAGAATATGTTTTCCTGTTCCATATAATCCCTGGTTTGTGACTAAACGCCGTGGGTTAATTCTAATCATTTGCCAGGATCCGTGTAAAAAGTCTCCATATTGGATGCATTCCCATCACGGTTTGCCATCCCCTGGCCAATTTCCCACAATTCCCGGTTTACGTGACGTGAGCGTTGTCAGTGCGCGCCCAGCATCACGAAGGAGATGATTGACAGGAGCGATGGCACATCAGATATTTCTAAACAACATTTCCCATGATGCTTGGTCAGCAAGAAGCTGTTTTACAAGGGCAAAGCATCACGGGAAACTGAGTGACTCTGCAAAGCCAAGTTTATCCCAAATTAATCAATAGTGTATTTTTTTTTAAACAAATCATTTACTTTTAAAAACTGTCCAGGAATCAAAACGAGCCATTTTAAGGTTTAATATTGGAGCAGATTATTGAGTCATTCACCTCGTTGATGAATCCGTGTTTTCAAACATGGTTTTATGCCCAGGTAATCCTGGCGCGAGTTATATTTATATATCTCCATGTTAGCGCTGAGACGAATCGCACTAGACAGGGAGACAGGATTATTCCAGGGTCAGCCGGCAGGGGATAGTCACTGCACTCCAGACTGAAATGAAACCAAATTGGTTCTAATATCCCGGCTGCTATTACACTGGAGTTTGAGACGGTTTATAAATTAGAGCTTTTTGAAAATTCCAGAGAATTAAATAGTTGTTTCTGATTAAACTTCAGAGTCTGTCAATGCCTGTAACACGCAGAACTCAGTAAGGAATACTACAACGTATGGATTATAGAAATTCTAACAAATCGACTGCGTTATTCACTGAAGTGGGAACGGTCTGCCATTTAAAGTGAAGTCAATATTGTAGGCCAAAACGACAGAAAATATAGCGAATTGGTAAAGTTTTCCAGTTCAGCTCTTTAAATAGCCCTGTTGCATTCACTTTGAATTCTCAATTTGTTGGTACAACTTCTCCTGGGGAGAATACATAATGTTCTCAAATAAAACAAACGTTACTAACTGCAACTGTATAACAGGCTTTATTTTTGTTTATTTCTTGATAACATTTCAATGTTTCACTGTTTGTGAGTAGGATAATGAACCGCTTCTTTAGGAGTGAATTTAACTGTGAACTCCAGTTCAGTATTAACGTATTTTGGTGTGGATAACTTACTATAGATATTTTGATGTAGGATGGTTAAGGGTTAACGAAGATTTAAATTAGTTACAGGTTTAACATAGACATTCAATGTGGATGGGTTAAGGATTAATCTCGATGTTTTGGTGCGGAAAGATTAATTTTGGAGCATGATAGTTAAAGGGTTAATGTAGACATTTCAGTAAAATGGGTCAGGGGTTAATTCTGACATTGGGTGAGGATGGGTTAATTTAGTTATTTTCATATGTAGTAATTTAATGGTTAATGTAGACATTTGCAGAGGATAATTTAAGGAGTTAATGTAGATGATATCTGGTGAGGATGGATTAAGGGTTAATGTTCAGTAAGGTTTGGTTCATTTAGCAATTTTGATATCTAATAATTTAAGGATTAACGCAGACATTCATTAAGAATGGGTTGAGGGTTAATGTAGACATTTGCTGGGGACAGATTAAGGTGCTAATTAATCCTGATTTTTGGAGAGGATAGGTTATAATAGGTTAAAGTAGACATTTGGTGAGGATGGTTAATTTAGTGATAATATAAGTGTTAACGCAGGCGGTGACGTAATAATTTAAGGGTTAACGCAGGCGGTGATATGTAATAATTTAAGGGTTAATGCAGACGGTCATATGTAATAATTTAGGGGTTAACGCAGAAGGGGATGTGTAATAATTCAAGGGTTAACGCAGGCGGTAATATGTAATAATTTAAGGGTTAATGCAGATGGTGAGACTGGGTTAAGTGGTTAATACAGCTGTGGGTGGGGTGTCTGGCAGTCCCAGCTAGTAGGACTTGTTGTCACCTGTGTGAGAATGGGCGGATCAGAGGAGGAGATGTAATGAGTCTGGTATGGGCAGCTCAGAGCAGGATACATTTATTCTGCTTGTATCTGCTCTGAGCTGCTTCATCCTGACTGCAACAAGTAAGTGATGGTCACCTCTTCCTTCCTATTGCTGTCTGTTTATGGATAAACATGTATCACATCGTGCAATAATAGAGTATCTGCCTGTACCCTGCATGTATCGTTTACCTGTATCCTGGGGTTTATATGCTCTGCACCTTTATTATTCCAGAAATCATCCTGTTTCTTTAAAAGGATCAGATAGTGATTGTTTTAATGGACATTTCTTTAATATTAATCCTGGTGTGCTGAGGGAATGTACCGTAGCAGTGCTCAGGGTTACTGGATTAAATATACCATCATTCTAAACTAGGGAATGATGTTTCTTATTCTTTGTAATACTCACTTTGCTGTAGCCCATAGTTGATTAACATTATCTTTAGATTGTAAGCTTATGGACAAGACTCTTTGGAGTCTCTTTGTAAGAAGAAAGGTTGGCTGATATTGCTAAATCCAGGGGTCTTGTTTTAAAGTGATAATGTTCTGTACTCTGGATAGTGCCCTCTAACATGTCCTTCTATCAGTAAAGGATGCATAATATTTGGAGTTTGCTGGTCTGTGATCAGAGGATACAGGTTTATAGAGTGGCACGTCATGTAGGCTTTTAGTCTGTTTTCCGATACACAAACATTACATTCTGAATTTATTCCAGTCTGTGCTTAGCGAGTTCTGTAACATTATGCTTTTTGTTTCTTTCTGTCCAATAGTCTGTGGGGAATGGGATTATGTTGGACTATTCACTTCATGTTGTGTTTTTAGAACCTTTTTGTTCTCCTAAAATTCTCTGCGGAGCTGGTTTAGCCGTTAATGCACTCAGCCCCTCACCACCCATTCTGCAGGAATTTGCTAATTTGTTTTCTAATATTCAATCCCACAGCCGGCATCATTAGAGTAAATTATGTATTTTGTTTTTAAAGTTCCCACCGAAGAGGTAATCGCATGATGATGATCTCCCGTATAGAAACACAGAATGCGACGGCAGATAAGAACCATTCGGCCCATCTAGTCTGCCCAATTTTCTAAATACTTTCATTAGTCCCTAGCCTTATCTTATAGTTAGGATAGCCTTATGCCTATCCCACGCATGCTTAAACTCCTTTACTGTGTTAACCTCTACCACTTCAGCTGGAAGGCTATTCCATGCATCCACTACACTCTCAGTAAAGTAATACTTCCTGATATTATTTTTAAACCTTTGCCCCTCTAATTTAAGACTATGTCCTCTTGTTGTGGTAGTTTTTCTTCTTTTAAATATAGTCTCCCCTTTACTGTGTTGATTCCCTTTATGTATTTAAATGTTTCTATCATATACCCCCCTGTCTCGTCTTTCCTCCAAGCTCTACGTGTTAAGATCCTTTAACCTTTCCTGGTAAGTTTTTTTTATCCCGCAATCCATGAACCAGTTTAGTAGCCCTTCTCTGAACTCTCTCTAAGGTATCAATATCCTTCTGTAGATACGGTCTCCAGTACTGTGTACAATACTCCAAGTGAGGTCTCACCAGTGTTCTGTACAATGGCATGAGCACTTCCCTCTTTCTACTGCTAATACCTCTCTCGATACAACCAAGCTTTATGCTAGCATTTCCTGCTGCTCTATTACATTGTCTGCCTACCTTTAAGTCATCAGAAATAATCACCCCTAAATCCCTTTCCTCATATGTTGAGGTTAGGACTCTATCAAATATTTTGTACTCTGCCCTTGGGTTTTTACGTCCAAGATGCATTATATTGCACTTATCCACATTAAATGTCAGTTGCCACAATTCTGACCATTTTTCTAGTTTACCTAAATCATTTGCCATTTGGCTTATCCCTCCTGGAACATCAACCCTGTTGCATATCTTAGTATCATCAGCAAAAAGACATATCTAACCATCAAATCCTTCTGCAATATCACTAATAAGAATGTTAAAGAGAATGGGTCCAAGTACAGATCCCTGAGGTACCCCACTGCTGACAAGTCCAAGCTTCGAATATATTCGATTAACTACAACCCTCTTTTGCCTGTCACTCAGCCACTCAGATTGCAGTTTATTGATAAGCCTTCTATGTGCAACAGTGTCAAAAGCCTTACTGAAATCTAGGTAAGCAATGTCTACTGCACCACCCTGATCTATAATTTTAGTTACCCAATCTCAAAAAAAATAAAATAAAAAAAATAATCCTTCAAATGTTGACCCTTTCATTGGCTCCAAAATGTTCTATGGAGCAAATCCTCATTTGGTGTAAAATGTTTCTGGTATCTTAGTCCGTACAATAACTTTAAATACACTTTAAACTTGACTTCTCCTGGATCTTACCAGTAAAATTATCACAGACTGGGAGGTTCATCGTATCAATAGACAGCCCAGAGAAACTGGCCCCTTTTATCCACATCCTGTAGGTGCTAGAAGATACCTCTAGGTCAAACCTTGACTGTATCCAGGAATGATGCATTTCAGAAAAGGCAAATAAACGTTCTTACCGGAAAACTTGGTGGCTTTTCCCCAGGTTTGTGTATGCAATGAATGTGGGTTATGTATAGGGTACCGGTGATGGCATTCAGTAGTTGGGAGGGTTGGATGATGACAAAGACAGTGTCAATGGTAGACATCCAGCATGGCTCTCACGGCTTAATTCAGAAACACATCAAATCTTCAGTAAGAGATTCACTGAGCACACTTTAGGATTGAATAATAGATATCATATCAGATGATGAGGGCCAGACGATGACATGGTAGTCTGCCCAGGCTGACCAACTCTCCAAACCTCAAGGCAACAGACAAACAAAGAAATAAGATTAGGAGTCCAGTTCTTTTCCTTAGAACATCGTATTCGTCTGTGTTTTATGTATTTCAATAATGTTCTAAAACCAGATACTTTCATATATATATTTTCCCAACAAGTTATATTTCGTTGACCATTGTTCTTCACTACTCCCTGGCTTGGTGCATGGACTGCTTTAGTGTCTCATATAAAGTTTTTCATTAAAGTGAGAATTTAAAGTTTTGAATTTAATGTCAAAATGAGAAAAAAATCCCCAAATCTGCTTTGCTTTCAGTTTGGCTACTCTGGTCTGATATTTTGAGATTTACTCTAAATCCCCACTTTGGTAAATAACCCAACAATCTCTAAGGCTGGTTGTAACTCCCATCATCCCAGAATGGTTTTTCTTGATAAAGAGAGGGTTGACAAGTTAATCTTTATTATGTATTCTCCCAGGCATTAGACAATCCCTTTATATTTTCTACTTGTTTGATTTATTTATAAAATATTTTACCAGGAAAGATACATTGAGATTTCTCTCGTTTTCAAGTATGTCCTGTGGGGTGGGAAGGGAGGGGGTGGTGGAGGTGGGGGGAACATCCAAACATTTCCACAGCATATTATTGTTTTTTCACAACTCACTGTGTATCTTTATTTTTTTTTCTTCTCAAATATTTTGCGGCGTTCTGCCTTGTTACGCTCCCTGTCCTTCCATGATCCGTACCTGTGTCCACTTTCCTCTCTTCCCCTCTCTGTGATAATGTAATTGGGGGGACACCGTAAAACTCTCTGCACGCTGTAGTTCAGTTACAAGCTTTTATCTTTTGATAACTAGAGGATGAACTACAAGTCCCAGAAACCTCTGCTGACAGTAAAGATTGTTCAGATAGCTTTGATTACTGCTAATTAGCCCACTGTGCTACACTTTAATCCTTTTCAGAGCTGGTTAAACCTACCAGATGGTTCAGGCTTGTACAGAACGTGCAAGGATACAGATTGGCCAAGTTACTCACATGTGTAGGCAAAGCTTAAAGGGACACTATAGGCACCCAGACCACTTCAGATCAATGAAGTGGTCTGGGGGCCAGGTCCCCCAGGTTTTAACCCTTCAGATGTAAACATAGCCGTTTCATAGAAACGGCTATGTTTACATTGAGGGTTAATCCAGCCTCTAGTGGCTGTCTTCCTGACAACCACTAGAGGCGCTTCTGCGACGCTGGATGTGAAAGTCGCATTGAGCACGCAGAACGTCCATAGGAAAGCATTGAGAAATGCTTTCCTATGGACTGTTTGAATGCGTGCGGCTTTTGCTGTGCATGCGCATTCCCCTCCACTCGGACGCTGACGTCGGCGGGGAGGAGAGGTCACCAGCGCCGAGACCTCCCGGCGCTGGATTAAAATAAGTAGCTGAAGGGGTTTTAACCCCTTCAGTGCCGTGGGGGGAACCTAAGGATTATATAGTGTCAGGAAAACAAACTCGTTTTCCTGACACTATAGTGATTCTTTTAAGACGTTAAACTCCATTTCCAATGACATTATACAGCTGCTAAAACGCCAAATAAAATATTTTCATGGGGCCCTTTAAACAGGACATCTGCTTGGCCTTCTGGGGAGAGGTTTCATTCCAAGAAAAGAAATGGCTCCAGTTTCCTCTTTGTTGTGGGAGCCAAAGTCCTTTCATGTTAAACTACCAAGATCTCTGTTTTCCTACTTTGTCCAAATCCTGCTGTGTCGGTGCTTTCTGCTGAGCTGTTTGTTTGCGTAGGGTTTGTTTTTGTTAATACTTGAAGTGTGTTTTAATGTTCTATTTACAAATATTTCTATACGTTACCGGTTTTAATTTGTGGCTCTTCTCACACATTTATGCTTCCGTTGCCCGTCGTTTTTCGGGTGTCCTGCAGCCGGGGACACAGTCAGAGCTATAAAACATGAACCATATTGGGAGCATTGACAGTGATTGACACCCCGTTTAATTGACCTATTGGAGAATTGTATAAGGCAGTGAATTGAAATCAGAATTGTAAAATTTAAGAAAATAATGGTGTAGTAATTCCCAGACTCGCCTATAGTTTAAACTTTTTTTTTATTTTTTTTTATTTTTTATTTTTTTATTCCTCAATTTGCAATTGATGTTTTCATTGGCTCCAGTTTAATGTTTAGTCAATAATCCCATAATATTTCTAAGTAAGAAAACACAGAATTCTGGTCAATCATGCCACGTAATGTCTCATCCCCAATGAGTGTAATAATAAAATCTATAATATTAATACTCGCACTAAGAAATTTACCAACAATTCGCTGAATTAAAATTCACGTAAAATAACCCCATTATGACTGGCTGACCTTGAGTTTTATTTTTGGTTTGTTTTTTTTCTTCCAAATTGCGAGTGAGAGAGATATATTTTCAATGCATTAAATAGTGTTTAGTGAATTAACCCCTTAATCTCTCTTCCATGTTAATGTTATACGGGGTCTGTAATTGATGGGGTTGTTTTTTTTTTTTTTTCTTACTATTTAAAACTGCAAGCTACTAACCCCTCTCTACACAATTCTTTTATTCCGCACAGTGATCTGTAAACTGGATTCTTTCTATGATTGTACTGCGCTGAAGAATATGTTGGCGCTATGTAACTGCTGATAAGAATCCCTGCCTCTCTCACAATGATTTGGCTCTAGCGAGCGGTGATGTGTTTTGCAGCCCGGTCACTCTCGTTGCCAGCAGACCAGGTTCTTTAGATATGCAAATCTGATCTATTTAAATCATTGACAGCCGCTAGAGGCATTTGCGTGCTTCTCACTGTGAAAAATCACAGTGAGAAAATGCCAGCGTCCATAGGAAAGCATTATAAATGCTTTCCTATGAGACAGGCTGAATGCGCGCGCAGCTCCTGCCGCGCATGCGCATTCAGCCGAAGAGGAGGAGAGCTCTCTGCCCAGCGCTGGAGAAAGAGGTAAGTTTAACCCCTTTCCTCGCCATCCAGCCGGGCAGGAGGGGGACCCTGAGGGTGGGGGCACCCTCAGGGCATTATAGTGCCAGGAAAACAAGTGTTTTCCTGGCACTATAGTGGTCCTTTAATTCCAGGTGTAAAAAGGAATCTGCTAAAGCACGTAACATTCACAATTTACTTTGTGTTCTGCCAAGTGCTGTTGCTGCAGAAATTATTCCCATGTTGGTACCCCTCTGTCTACAGTGTCCTCTATAACAGCATTGCGTGAAGTGGGATGCCGATGGGTGCGGTAAAACAGGGCGGACCAATGATGCAAATAACGTCACTGTTGCTACCCAAATATTATTGATCGACTTGCACAAAGAACTGGTAGGTCAGCCTGGCGTGAAGCCTGGTTCTGTCCAGTGCTCTCTGCAGTCCTGGGCATCATGCAGACTGCGCTGGCCATTGTGTAGACTAAATATAAACGTTCACTGTATGAGCGGTGCCCTATATGTTGCCATGAATAGCTTGGTACATCCTCTATATTATATTTCAGTTTAGCGTGGCAGCATGCCAGCCATGCAGACAACTCCAGGTGTTCATCAGATCGATAACTGTTACCAGGCTCTTACTGTACAGCCATGTGGAACGCTGGCTTATACAATTCCCAAGTGGATATTGTGTATCGTATTCTATGTCATCTGCAGTGATGCAAAACTTAGCGATTTATACATTCATTGTTCACTATTAAGGTGTACAGCTAGTCTGACCCCCCACTCCCTACCACACACTTCAAATCCTCCCAAACAGAAATCTCCTATGGAAGAGATCTAAAATGCAGAACTCCTGTCTGGATTTCCTGGGAAAGCAATCACTTGTATCCCCCCTGCAGACCCCCTTTTTTTAAGGAGAGCAGTGTTAATTCTAGAGAGAATTCATAACTGATATGTAAAGTAGTCACTTGTATCTTGGTGACACATTGTGAAGTTTTCTTATGACGTCCAGGTATCTTTAGATTCTGTAATATTAACAAAATATTCCAGGATCAAGCAGGACACGTGGCTTTAAACCCAAAAAAGTATGGATTGAGGAACATTAGGCCCCAGAGGTTTTAGATGTACCATTACCTTCCTGACACATTGAGCAATGTTCTAGAAGCATTGCAATGTAACCAGGATCTCAATACAGGAGTTCTGAAGATATTGAACGAGGTGTCCAAAATCTTTACACTAATGTTTGGTGAGTGCAGGATTGCTCTTTTCCAACATGCTTAGACTTGGCCAGTGTTATCTGGTTAGATCCTCTTAACAGAATGAGTTGTAAAGTGTCATTGGAGTCTTGACCTCAGCAGCTGTCTTAATCTGTAAGTTGAGCCCTCGGACTTTGGTACCTGAAATAACTGCAGGTCATGGCTAGACGGAGAGTAAACCAGGCCGAAGGAACTGGATTTTGGAGAAGTAATTGAAGTATAATATATCCTTTACTGATTGTTCTTCCTAAAAGCTCCACTCCAGCTCCTTCTAATGTTAACAGGGTTTCTGGAAGTTTCCATATAAATCACATGTCTTCTTAGTAATGTTTGATCATTTGTGAAAATTAGAGAAAATTCAACACATATTCGGTTAGATGGTAGCAAGTGCCACATGTGGGACCGTTCCCACAGAAACCAATGAAATCTCTTTTTTTAAGCAGATTGCACCTTTTGGACCACGTTGCCCAGAACGCGTCCTGTTTTGCTTCGACCAATCTTTTTTCCGATGAATCCTTTTCTCATTGAATGCTGAGTGTTTATCTAAATGTGACACAGTGCTTTTTGATTGGGCAATGTTGGGGCGTTAAGATGAGGTCTGATTGTTGGATACCCTGTATAACCGAGAACACAAAGCAGATGTTGACCTTGTTTCTGGTCTGTTCCATTCTTTCTTGTTCCTCACTTAATGTGTTGCTTTTCATAACTTTTTTCACGGGAAGCTTCCCAACAAATTCTTTTGCTCCAAAGTAGATTTCCCAAGTTACTGTGAACTGCCCATTTCACACAGCCCGATGTTTGTTTTCTGTTTTGGTTGGGACACATTGCTATGGAAACCCATGACTTAACTCCTTGATTCTTTTTACAAAATGCTGCTCTTCCATGCCCATTGCTCTGCAACGTCCGGCTGTACTAACACCTGTAAATAGGTCTGTACGCACTATAAGTACTGTATATCTCACTACGGCGCCCTGACAAATGGCGTGGGGATGAGTCAGAGGGGAGACCCTAGATGTCCTGCTGGAGATTTCATATTCCACCAGTGGAATTAACTGGGGGATAAACATGGGAAAAACTGCAATGTTTACTTTCAGATTAGATTTTATTGATATATGTATTTAGATTAAAAATGGATCTGTCATCTAAATAAAATCTGTTCTGTTGGTCCTGAAAGACTGGCAGAATCTTTCCAATAGTTTTGCTTTTTGCAGTAGTTTATCAAACCATATTCTTCCACCAGATTGACTAGTCTTTCATCCTCTTTTAAACTGTGTGCACCCCACAATGCAGGGCTTGATAACTGATGGGAGCTTTAATGACCAAGGAGAATTGATCTGTTTTTATAAAAGCACAAACTGCATTTTGGTGGAGCCTCCATACCCACAGGGTTTTCAAGTAAGATGTTAGTTGGATGTTCTGTACTGAGATATTCGAGGTGTAATAATAAATTCAGGGGCAAAGGACTGTGTGTGGAGCAGCTGCTATAGAAACCCATGTAATGTCCTGACTGCTCCACTTTTAGACATTTAGCCCTGAATTAAATGCTAAATATTAAATGTATTGTGACTTCAAGAACGTTTAATCATCTGCCCTGTTTCAATGAGTATTTATTTCAAGTGATCAGACAGGCTCAGACTGTATGTGTAACTGGGTGACAGAAACCCGAATGGTGCAGAGTATGTTGCAGGTTTATGTAAAGAATCTTACTCCTAGACATGAACGTCCATCGTGGACCAGAACACATTCTTAGAATTCTGACGTTTGGTCACATATCGGTTACTGAACAGAGAAATCTTTGAATGTTTGGGAATCCTGTAAACAAGCAATTCTAGAATGTGTATGTATAGGTCAAATAACAATCCGTGCCCCACACTCCGTCTAACGGCCTCCTGGATGGAGCAGCCTGTGGTTTATTCCACTGGTAAACGTAGACTATACAAGTAAAACCAACCAGTTCCTCTCAAATGATTATTAGAGTCCATCTTTAACCCCTTAAGGACCAAACTTCTGGAATAAAAGGGAATCATGACATGTCACACATGTCATGTGTCCTTAAGGGGTTAAGAAACAGGGAAAACTCTTTCCTCATTAACTATAATAAAAATGAGAAATAGCACATCGTGTATATCTTTATTTAAAACTTTTTTTTTTTTTTTTTTTGCCAGTTTGATCAGTGAACCCGATGATGATTTTCACATATTGTCCTGCTGAATCTGACACTTGTAAACGCATTCCTCTTGAATGAATGAACAAGCCTTAGAATTGATCTCTAGGGATGTGCATGGGCAAAAAAATTTGGTCCGGCAATTCCCTAACCCTACCCCTATGTGGGATTAGCGGAAGGCTGGGGTAAGGGTTAGGGGTAGGGTTAGATTACTGTCATAATTCCCTTAATTTTCACTCCCTCTCCTGTCTTGCCACTTTTCAGAAATCCGAAGCACTTCAGCAGTTCGGTTCGGCAATTCAGACATTTGGAAGTGTCCAAATTGCCAAAATTAATCCGAATAAAAATTCGGGCCGAAACGAATTGCACATGTCTGTTGCTCTCGCTCTCATGGATAGGAACCTCTCAGCCAAATCTAATCTCTATTAATTTAGCTGGTAATTTTTGGTATGGAGATGGAGTGTTTAAGCAGTCTCTTTGGTGTCTTGTTTGACTTTATTCTCTATCTCAAATTCAGCAGTTCACCTGCTACATTCTCATAAAAAAAAAAAAAATATATATAGTTCGAAGAATATTTAGTAGATTGTGTGCTCTCTTGACTACTGGAATCACTTGCCTGCCTTCAATGGGTTCAACCAATTCCTCCCCCGGGCTCTACACAATACTGCTGCATGTCTATTGCCCCATTATTACACCTATCTTACTGACCACCCGGGACAGGGTTAAGCAACCTTCAGCACTCCAGTTGTTGTGGACTACATCTCCCATGATGCTTTGCCAGCATTATGGGAGATGTAGTCTGTAACATTTGCAGTGCCAAAGGCTGCTTACCCCTGTCCTCTTCACTGTCATCCGGGATGTCACTTTAAAATACTCCTCTCCATTGCCCTTGTCACAAAGGTTTCCTCCCTGCTACTCCCCAGACCATCATATCCACCCTATCTTACATAGAACACCTTTCCTGACTAGCTCCATATCTCTAGAACCCACTAACCTCCCATCTTGTCTCCCCAATCCGGCCATATCCATTTCAGCCTGGTGAATGCTGTTCTGTCTCTCTCTAAATTGCCAGCTGCACGGGTGGAGTGATGCGTGTTTCGGGCCTGTTCTTGTCTATGTAGACAAAAATGTGTTACCACCCCTGGCAGAGCTCCACACTCGACATCATCTGATAATGGCACAGATTAGCGTGTCAATTAATTCTGCTCTCCGCAATTAAAATGGAACCTATTCTTGTTTCATCTTGTCCGGTTTGTATTTGTTTAAAACAAACTTTAATTCAATGTTTTAGCCGTACAAATGGAAATGTCTAGTCAAGACACTCAAATTAAATACAGGCTTGTTTCCTTTTCATACCAAACAATGTAAATCTAGCTTTCTACGTTCTTATTGGTATTTACCCCTTACTCAATGTAGGTTTGGTTTTAGTTTCGTGTTGTCTTTCTTCCTGTTCTGTAAGTCTTTGCTGGAGAACATGTACAAAAATGTTACTCTTCCTTGTGCCTCCAGGGGTTGGAAATACAGGTTTTAATAGCACATACTGGGAGAGGACTGGCAGCACTGAAAACTGGTTAATGTGAGCATAGTCGATGTAATATAATAAGCATTTAATTGTCAGTGCCACAAGTGAATGTTTAGAGAGGGATGGTTTTTATAATCCTTCATTATGGACTTTTCTCTTTTTAAAAAACAAAACAATTATAGGCCTGGGCTGTATAATTCTCTACATAGTGACCGTCCATATCGGGTCATGGCATAAACCCCTGAATGCTGGAGATGGGTACCAGACCTGGCACTCACTGTGCCCAGCAAATGCAAACTCCATTGTAAGGAGGATCGCCTGTTAATGTGTTTGTTCTATTTCAGCAGGTTCAACGCTGCAAAATCTGAAAATGCTGGACCTATCTGCCGCATTGCTTCTTGTCCTGGCTGGTAAGTGACACTCGGAGATGATCTGCTACATTAACACTTTGACAAGTGACACGCTAGAGGTATCCTAAAATAATGGGGTTTGCCTAAACGCCTCTCGTCACTGGTTTGTTTACCCAGATGGGGCAAGTACCTGTGATATTTACTTTGATCATTTATTGTTGACAATTGGAGGGAGTCGGACTCCTTCAGTGCTGTGAATGTTGTTATGGGTCGTTATAGCAAGCTTGTTTCGCTCCATATCCTCTCTCAGCGGGAGAGCTCCGCTTTGGAGAGCATTTGTCATGGTTCCCTGCAGGAGGCTCACTTTATCCCACCTCCCCCAAGCTCCGCAGGATTCTTCAGGGGTGGGAAGGGTGTGGCCCGTGGTGAAAGGGGGTGGGGAGGTCAGTCATAGAAAAAATGCATGGATCTGCTCCACAAATGGCCAACAATACTAAATGGGCAGAGTTAAACTGCACTCGCTGCACAAGGATTGGGAGGGTTTTCTCCACAAATACATTATTAAACTATGAATTGTTAATCAAAAACTGACAATCTCAACCTCCTTATTTTCAGCTCTCCCTTGCCTCCAGGCAAATGATATTACAGGTAGGTGGTCAACAATACTGATTAATGCAAAATGCGTGTGTTCATTTAATCTAAATCTATGCATTCAATGTTTTTTCTTTTTCTTTTTTAGATAGCGATAAACAGTTTTATTATGGTAAGTTATGTTTGTATGACCTCACCCACGGTGCTATAGGATTCAGAAATCTGTGTTTGTGTGTGTGTGTGTGTGTGTGTTTGTCTCCCAATTCTATAGACACACAAGATAAATATTCTGTTTTCCTTTTGTTTGTTTTTTGCCAAGTAACAGCCCAGAAATATTTGAGATGACAAAGGCCAGCTCCATTCCAGATCCTCTGATATATTTTTACTCCTGAATATAATCATTTCATTATATTGCTCCCACCCCCCAGTCTGAGTATTTAATAACTAAATCACTAAAACAAAATAATTTTCTTCGACACAAGGGAGAGGTTTGGACTAAAGGAGTAGCTTTTTGTCACTTGACGTAGATACACTGATTGACATTACAAATAAAGCCAAGGAATATGTCGCTATCTGACCCCTTGGTCTCCTGAAACATGCCTGGAATTTATAACATGTATGTAAATCTACCTTCTGCATTGACCGCTTCATACCTGTAACTATAAACAGTACTTTATGATCAGTAAACCCAGATGCAGACTATTTATCTTTGGAGACTTGATGTTGTTTGACTGGTACTAACCAATGAAAATAACCCGTTGGCATGGTAACTAATAACAATAAATGTTAGGAAAGAACATGTCTGTGTAATTCGTTCTGCAGTTTCCTCCCCCACATTAAGTCATATTAAAGGCCCTGTCAACTGCCCAAATACTAAATGAAATCCTTATTTACTAAACATACCCTAAATGGAAAAACGTGCACGTATTCTACATTGTTCTATTTATTCCTTTTTAGAAGTCCTCCCCTTCTAACCCCGCCCACACTTTCTGTGGCTGTCCAATCACAGACTTCCCAATGCAGCTCAATGAGAAGTCTTTGCAAGGCAGTGCTCTGGGCAATTGCTGCCTCTTGAGTTTATCTTCACTGAGCTAACCAACCAGGAAGTAACAGGACCAGTTGCTTGACAGCCAAATGTTAATTTAGAAAAGTGTCAGTTTCCATTGAAATCTGCACTTGTTGCAAAGAGGGCACACGCTTCAGACATAAAGCTTTTCAGCAAGCTAAAGTGTTTTAGGAGTCGGGAACATCTCTTGGAGATGCGGAGTCTGTAACCGGATTTCTGACCTCACTCATTGGCATTGCATTGGACCATCTGATCCCACGTGTGTGTGTGTGTGTATTGTACAGCCTTCTAGAGCTGTCCATGGGTAAAGCAGTTGCTGTTTGCAAAATACATAAATCTATGGGGTTCGTGGTCTTGGAAGGGGCACAATGTCTAAGTGAGAGGCTGAGTAATCTGACAAATCGGATCAATTCCGTGAGAAGAATCTGTCGCCCCAAACCTTTCACCAGCAGCCGAGATCATACTATCGTCCCACTATGGGCTGTTATTTCTTTTTTGTGAGGATACATGTTTATTACAAATCCAGAGTCCGCAGGCAATGATTCAAAGCTCTGTTCCTTTATATAGCAGTTGGTGCCTTCTATTGCATTTATAAGGATTTTCTTTCTTTGTCTTTCAGACTATGAATCCCTGAAGGTTGCAGGACTGATTATGGCTGGGGTGCTCTGTGCTTTGGGCATTATTATTTTAATGAGTAAGTTACACGTTCATACTGAACAGATTTAATTGATTTCTTCTATTTTCTCCAAGAAAATTAAACAAAAAAAATCCCAAAGTGTTTAGAAGGACATTAACCCCTTAAGGACACATGACATGTCATGATTCCCTTTTATTCCAGAAGTTTGGTCCTTAAGAGGTTAAAGAGACACTATAGTCACCAGAACAACTACAGCTTATTGACTTTGTTCTGGTGAGTAGAATCATTACCTTCAGGCTTTTTGCAGTAAACAGTCTTTTCAGAGAAAATGCAGTGTTTACATTACAGCCTATGGATATCTCCACTGGTCTCTCCTCAGATGGCTGCTAGAGTTGCTTCCTGGGGCAGTGCTGCATAGTGAGACTGACATTCAGTGTCTCCTCCCTATGCATGCAGATACTCAACTTTCCTCATAGAGATTCATTGATTCACTGTATCTCTATGAAGAGATGCTGATTGGCTGGGGCTGTGTGCTGGCTCTGCCTCCTTGACGGTCTCAGCCAATCCTATGCTTTTTCTATAGGAAAGCATTGTGATCTGCTTTTGTTAAACACTTCTGATGATGTTAGCCAAGCAGGCAGATCAGGGGCAGAGCCAGCAGCAGCAGACTGGAATAAAGGTGAGATTTTACTATATTTAGGGTAACCCCATTGTGGGTAATAATCTTTAAACCAAACTGCAGCCTTTGCAAATGGTTTTTAGATATTACCCACAATGGGGTTAGGTGGGATTGATGTGTTTTGGACGGCTCTGAAAAGTCTGGTGTGTGAGTTGTGCTTGATATAATCCACCACCGAAATACAGTAAACTGTCTCTTGTGTGGAATCGATAATAGGAAAGGTGACATTGATAAAAGCATTCTTTTTAAGACTGTTTGTTAGATCTACTATGATTAACTTTTTTTTTTTTTTTTTTTTTCTCTTTAGGTGGAAAATGCAAATGTAAATTCAACCAAAAGAACGAGTAAGTAATCCATGCGCTGTGTTAATCCCGGTCTAAAAGCCGAGCAGTCAGAGGGAACTTTCTATAGGTTTCCATGGTAACTGCTCTACTTCTAACCAAGCCAGTAACTACACGTTTTTAGTTTGCGTTGTATAACTTTATTTATGCTCCTTGTTTCTCTACTAATATTCACATTGCTTTTTATCTATTTTAGCCGAAGGAATCGAGCCCAGGAACAGCAACTAATCACTCCAGGTAACTGTGTGACTTTATAAAATGTCACTAATTCACACATTACTAGTGCCAATGCAAGAAAAATGGTCAATCTATTAACATGTACAACAATACTTGGATATTGTAAATGGTGTGTGTCGATCATGCAATATCCAAGCTCACAAAATGTAATTGTGTAATTTTTTATTTTATCTCCTCACCTTGGCAAACAGTGAGCACTTGGTTACAGTATACGAACCTGCTAATATGCCCCATTCTTGGCAGGCTCGATCCCAGTGCCTGCTTTCATGAGCTTAACCAACTTTACCTGGGCCTCACACCATTGACAATATCCATGTGTTGTACTTGGTAATGGCCTGATGCGATATATAAATATTTTATGTGTATTTGTGGTAGCTTGGGTGTGGCAGATGGTTTCCTAAATATGACGAGGGATTTTCAGACCCTGTCGTTGCTCTGTCTGTGTCCCTGTCTTGTCCATTGAGCATCACTGTCTCTATGTATTGCTGTATAACTTTTTTTTTTTTTTTTTTATTGGCATTTTATAGAAATTCAGTCTTATTACAGGGTATGCGGGTTACAATCGTGTTTACAGCATAGAGAATACAGGATGGTGTGCAAGATAACTGACATTTTATATCTGTTGCTGATATTTTTTCATGTGTCTTTCTGTTGTTGCAGGGACCGCCAGTCATTGCTAAGAGATCTTCTGCTTAATGAAGGATTTTGTAACTCCATTCAAGTTTTCATGTTCTCTCATGACACCCAACACCTGCCCCTCTACCTTGTTTATATAAAATATATTTTAACTTTTTTTTTTTTTTTGTCTAGAATTTCAATAAAAAGCTTGTTTTGTCAGTGTGTGGGGTTTTTTTTTGTGACATTGAATTCTTTGCTGTGCTTTTATCATCTCTTTTCCAAGGGGGCGGGGGGGAGGGGGAGAGGTGTTCAAGAAAGGACATTTTCAAATTGTGTAAAACTGGGCCTCTGTTAACACTTCCCAGCCCTTTCAGGACTATAAAAGTAATAATTAGATTTTTATAAAGCGGTTTTCTCCCAATGGGACGCAACATTTGGAGTTTTCTGAATTGCCTCTGATTGCAGCAAATATTTCTATTAAACCACTTTGAGGCGTTCCTAGTATCATCTTCTAAACTCCGAGAGCCTAGTTTCCCTCCAGGAAACGGAATGTCTGGTTTATTGAGAAGAAACAATGTCTGTTAATTCCCTTTGTTTTCCTCCTGGCAGTCTCCAAAAGGTTTCGATTTCACCTGTACCTGTTCACACACTCACTTGGCACGCTGGGCTCTGTAGGATGTGGAATCCCTGTCGTATGATTGGCTCTCCCCCACTGCAGCCACTTCTCTTATCCAAATGCAGACCTTTAGCGAGTGTGCATGGGCCTATCCGTAATGTGGGAATGTATGGTGGGAGGTTGGTTACATCATATCGTTCATACCTGTCCAGTTACCCTAAACTTAATCTGTATATTACCATAATGCGTCTGTATGACATCACACCACATCCGTATCCTGCCATAATGACATCATACTACATCATCCGTATCCTGCCATAATGACATCACACTACATCATCTGCACCCTGCCATTATGCGTCCTTGTGATATCACACTACATTGAGATGATATTGTCACAGGAGCATTTTATGGTAAGATACAGGAATATCGAGGTGATACAGCAGCACGTTATGTTACTTTTGTATCTTACCATGTTAATGGATCCTACTCTCACGTGTGTCCATCATATTGAGACGCTGTCAGATTGTAGATTTACACCACTGTGATACATGGGAGGAGTTTATAAACAGATTTCCTTTGAATTTGATCTTAAACTAGAAATTTAAATTTTTGGCCAACTGACACAATGATCGTTTTGACAAAGGTTTATTTAAAATGTAATATTGGCAATTTCCTGGTTTGTTCTAAATAATTTGTGTTTTAATGAAGAATAAACTCTCCTTGTCTCTCCCCAACTCCCCACAAGGTCCTTGTATTTTGTTGTTGCTGTACGAGCGATTGACACAGATATAAAATCAAGGCGTTCCACCTTCCTCCAAGCTCTGCTGTTTGTTTGGGGATCATTGCGACACAATGTGTCTGTTTCTTGGCTTTCCACGGGCTCAATGCTAAATGGCTGCAAGGAAAACCTTAATCTGGTGTAATAATCCTCGCACCTGACTGTAAACGGAGTGTGCCACAACGCCCTCTGCTGGCTAAATGGTGCAGTTCCATTTCACTGCTTGTGTGACAAGTCTATTTATAAAAATATTTTACCTGGAAGGATACATTGAGACGTCTCTCATTTTCAAGTATGTCCTGGGCCCACTAACACTGCATCGTTACAATCGGATACAATATAATGTTAAGAATACAAAGTGATCTTAATACACAGCACAGAACAGGTAAGTACTATAATCAGCAATGATTACAGGTGGATTCTGTACTGAGATACGTAGAGAGGGAATATCGGCTGACGGAAGCTTTGAAAGTGTCCGGGAGGTTCTAATATCACAAACACTGTTACAATCCCTACAGAAACTGAATTCATACATTGTAAAACTCAAATTAATCAGCTTGTAAAAGATCAATAAACAGACCACTTAGCGTCAGGGCCGTGTTCACGTTTTTATTTTCCATTTTCGCCTTTGTTTGTTTAAACTGGTTTGATTTTCCTTACCCCCCCCGTACAGCGCTGCAGCACTTGTTGGTGCTCTGTAAACTACTTTGCCAGCTACACATAATTTTAATGGAAAGTGGTGCAAATGGCAACTAGAGCACTGAATAAATGAATTCACTTTAAATTCATTGCAATTCATACTTTTTTTTGTGAATAAACACATTTCTGTCTTAAATGCTAAACGTTGGATTTAATGATTATATTCCATCTAATGTTCCCTGCCCTCCCTGATTCTCCTATTCACACGTTAAGGTCCTATCTGAGATGTTTGTGTCAGTTTGCAGGATCCCAGAGCCGAACTTTAAAAATGTCAGTCGATATATTTATTATATCTGGATACTGCTAGAACAAATATTTGCTGTTTCTACCTGGTTTTGTTTTTTAAACGTTTCTTTTTTTGTTTGTTTGTTTTTTAACTTGGGCGTTGGGTTTTAGTTTGTAGAATAAAAATGCGTCCGCTATAATTCAATCCTCAACAAAGATAAAGTGTTATAAGAAATGTATTCTATATAATTAATAACTAAATACTTTATTGAAACGTACATGTTTATGTTTCCTTCGAATTGTCCAATCTAGGCCAGTGCCTCGTTAAATAGATAAGGGCTATGTTTTCGTTTTATTTCATGGGAAACTAATGCTTATCCAAGGATAATAAAAGCCCTTGTATAATGTTTAATTATATTATGCAATAATTAAGTGTACGACAATAAATCTAATTGTTTCATATTACCTGTGAGTCTGGATAGACTGTATTATTTCTCTTGTTTTGTATTTTTGCCGTGTTTTGGTCTGGAATGCTGAGAGCAGCTCCTGGCTGGTCAGATCTTGTGTTTTGTTTATATTTTCATTTGTTTTCCATTAATAAAATCTCTGAAAGACAGAGAAACTCGAGGAGAGACGGTGACACATCACTGGGGACACTCGTCAATTCAACATGACTTCTTTGGTAAGAAATCTCTCCGACCCTCTTAACTGCTTTTGAGGTTTGAATACCAACGATTACCTTACGTTTCCTGCTGTTACCCACGCATTTTGTGCAGTTTGGCCCATTTAATTTTCATTTAGATTTTTAGATTTTGCAACTGGTATTGTTTGTTTTTATTGTTTTGCTGTAATGATCCAACACACTTTATACAAGTATTGCTTTTCACAAACGGGCTGCACGTTCTGCAATGTATAATCTGACACAGATTATAATTTACAATTATTATACGCTTTCTGTACTACGTTTATCGGGGAATGATGTGTAAATGTTTTGAATAAAATTATCGATTTTACAAGCGTAGCGTAGGGAAATGTTTTAAGTTTTTTTCATTAACTGATGTCCTACAGCAGGAAAAACACGTTTTAAATCCCCGACACAGAATAGAATGTTTAACCAGCCTATTGGGTCACAGCTTCGCCTATAAATCCTTCCAGCATTACTGATTCCTGCTCAATCATTGCTGCTCTGGTAAAGAGAAATGTTATGGTGACAGCCGGCGTTGCTAGGTGGGGTATTGGAGGATATTAGTGCTTTTTTTTTTACTTTTACAAAGCAGCCACCTATTATAGAAAGATCAGTCATGTCAGGAGTGATTGCTGGGGAACAGATCATTGATGCACACTGCTCTATTAGTAAGGTAGCATGGCGGGATCACAGCATGTTTTCAGCTGTTTTTTTTTTGAGATCTTGGAGAATATCATCAGCTTGCTGTGTTCATAGGTAGAGCAGGGGACAGCACAGTACATAGACGGCAGGGGACATAACATAGACAGCAGGAAACAGCACAGACAGCAGGGGACATAGCATAGACAGCAGGGGACATAACATAGAGAGCAGGAGACAGTATATAGACGGCAGGGGACATAGCATAGACAGCAGGAGAAAGTGCAGAGATGGCAGGGGACATAACATAGACAGCAGGGGACATAGCACAGACAGCAGATGACATAGCATAGACAGCAGGGGACATAACATAGACAGCAGGGAACATAGCACAGACAGCAGATGACATAGCATAGACAGCAGGGGACATAGCATAGACAGCAGGGACATAACATAGACAGCAGGAGACATAGCACAGACAGTAGGGGACAGTACATAGACGGCAGGGGACATAGCATAGACAGCAGGGGACGGTACATAGACGTCAGGGGACATAGCATAGACAGCAGGGGACAGAACATAAACAGCAGGGGACATAACATAGACAGCAGGGGACATAACAGAGCAGGAGACAGTATATAGATGGCAGGGGACATAGCATAGACAGCAGGGGACATTACATAGACAGCAGGGGACATAACATAGAGAGCAGGAGACAGTATATAGATGGCAGGGGACATAGCATAGACAGCAGGGGACATAACATAGACAGCAGGAGACATTACATAGACAGCAGGGGACAGAATATAGACAGCAGGGGACATAGCATAGACATGAGAGGACATATCATGACACCCCATCTTTCTGTTAGAGTAGGGGTCACTGGGTTTTCCCTTGGGTTGAAGCCCCGGGTGTTTGTGGACCCTATCAATGCCTTTTGTAGTGACAGTGTTATTAATTAATATATAGAAATGAATACTTGTTGTCAGAGAGCCAGGCATGCCCATCCAGCAGATCTGACACACTGTTTGTCTTGTTTCAGGCCGGCCTGAGTCACGTCCTTTTAATTCTTGTCCTTTGCCAAGGTAAGAGTCAATATGCAGTCCGTAGAGTGTATCCCCCGCCCCAACAGGTTCATTCATTACTGCCATAGGCACATTAAGTATTTATTATTTATACAAAGAACTAGACATTGATTCCACATTAGCAGTTTACTCTTGATTCTAAATAAATAATAATTAAACCATTTTAATGACATTAAACAGACATAAAATCTTTGTAAACAATCTGCCACCAAGTGTCTATTAGTATACAAACAGTTACTTGTATTATTAATCTTCACCAATACATTGCCTTCACCCTCGGACCCTCAACCAACTCCAGGAGTGACCTAGAAATGACGATGGAAAACCCTACAAACATGTCATTAATAAACATCTTCAATCCTAATTTCAAATCTACCATAACATTAGGAATAACAACAATACACTGGGATACAACTTTTACTTCTAAATGTGACAATGGGGATTTATTTCTTGGAAGAAAAGAAGGTAAAGCAGTTACACAAATCCAAGGTATTGCTCTGAAATATCTCGAATCGGTCTATCACCTACAGAATCTCAAATCGGTTTGTCACCTACAGAAACTCGAATCGGTCTATCACCTACAGAAACTCGAATCGGCCTGTCACCTACAGAATCTAGAAGCTTTCTGTCACCTACAGAATCTGGAATCGGTCTGTCACCTACAGAATCTAGAATCGGTCTGTCACCTACAGAATCTAGAATCAGTCTGTCACCTACAGAATCTCGAAACGGTCTGTCATCTACAGAATCTAGAATCAGTATGTCCCCTATAGAATCTCGAAACGGTCTGTCACCTACAGAATCTCAAATCGGTCTGTCACCTACAGAATCTCGAATCGGTCTGTCACCTACAGAGACTCGAATCGGTCTGTCACCTACAGAAACTCGAATCGGTCTGTCACCTACAGAATCTCGAATCGGTCTATCACCTACAGAAACTCGAATCGGTCTATCACCTACAGAAACTCGAATCGGCCTGTCACATACAGAATCTAGAAGCTTTCTGTCACCTACAGAATCTAGAATCGGTCTGTCACCTACAGAATCTAGAATCGGTCTGTCACCTACAGAATCTAGAATCAGTCTGTCACCTACAGAATCTCGAAACGGTCTGTCATCTACAGAATCTAGAATCAGTATGTCCCCTATAGAATCTCGAAACGGTCTGTCACCTACAGAATCTCAAATCGGTCTGTCACCTACAGAATCTCGAATCGGTCTGTCACCTACAGAAACTCGTATCGGTCTGTCACCTACAGAATCTCGAATCGGCCTGTCACCTACAGAATCTAGAATCGGTCTATCACCTACAGAATCTCAAATCGGTCTATCACCTACAGAAACTCGAATCGGTCTATCACCTACAGAATCTCGAAACGGTCTGTCACCTACAGAATCTAGAATCAGTATGTCACCTATAGAATCTCGAAATGGTCTGTCACCCACAGAATCTAGAATCAGTCTGTCACCTAGAGAAACTCGAATCGGTCTATCACCTACAGAATCTCAAAACGGTCTGTCACCTACAGAATCTAGAATCAGTCTGTCACCTAGAGAAACTCGAATCGGTCTATCACCTACAGAAACTCGAATCGGTCTATCACCTACAGAATCTCGAAACGGTCTGTCACCTACAGAATCTAGAATCAGTATGTCACCTATAGAATCTCGAAATGGTCTGTCACCCACAGAATCTAGAATCAGTCTGTCACCTAGAGAAACTCGAATCGGTCTATCACCTACAGAATCTCAAAACGGTCTGTCACCTACAGAATCTAGAATCAGTCTGTCACCTAGAGAAACTCGAATCGGTCTATCACCTACAGAAACTCGAATCGGTCTATCACCTACAGAATCTCGAAACGGTCTGTCACCTACAGAATCTAGAATCAGTATGTCACCTATAGAATCTCGAAATGTTCTGTCACCCACAGAATCTATCAATATATGTCAAACTGTGAACGTTTTTTACAGGAAATGTTCCATGTTTTGGTGGCAAACTATACGAAAATGATCCCTTTTCATGAAACAACGAGAACAGACAGCGTTTCCTATAAACAAGGAGTCACAACAATCTGAATGTTTTTACATAATAATTAATCAATTCTTATATTTTTGCAGAAAATAGATTTTTTTTTTTTAGATTGCTCAGAGAGTAAAGGTCAAAAAAGATCTATTGCGTATTTTTTCCCCTATATTATTTCTGTCCATGTATAATCATTGCTCTAGAACCATGTTAATATGAAGGTCAGCTCTCCAAAATCACCAAAGTGGAAACATCCCGAACTCAGCTGAATAGGACATATTTTTCCAAGTTTTCAAAGTTGGGAGTGAGAGCATCGTAACTCACTATTCAAAGAACACACTCCTAAAATACTGGCTGAGATTGATGGGATTGGTAGTTCAACAACAGTTTTGTATATCCTTTGTATAATCCTGCCCTAGTGAAATCTCTCATTGTTTCAGAAGTTAATGAAGTCATTTTAATGAAGGCTCCTTTTACAGTTCAGTGAGCCGGCCCTGCATATTTAGAGTAGAATTTATTTTCATAATATTGTATTGTTTTGTATTTCTGTTGTGCTTGTTTAACCTGTGTCTGATTTTTAGATCACCAATATAACAGTGTGGTGACTTGTCTTCCTTATAACATCTCCTGATGTGTAAGGTGACTGATCATAATATAACAAGCTAATTAATTAGGGCACACCCGGAATATGCATCTTGCAGGAATGATGCTGATGTTGTGAATAAAATGTATACATAATACAGATTAAGGACAGCACACACATAAAATACATTTCTAAATTCTCATAGGCCACTTAAAATCACCGATCTCAGCAAACAAATAAGTGGATTCAGTTCAACCATATGGCCATATTATGACAAGTCACCACTACCATCGATATTGGGGTACCGTGACGTTATTAGTGTAGTACCCATCGATATTGGGGTACTGTGACGTTATTAGTGTAGTACCCATCGATATTGGGGTACCATGACGTTATTAGTGTAGTACCCATCGAT